CCACAGTGGTTTTACTTTGCTTTTTGGTTCAGCTAATGTTTGGGAGATAAATAGTTTTTTGTTGTGACGTTATATTTTTAAATAAAAATAAAATCAAGATTCGAGTTTGATTATAGAAAGGGAAATCAAATCTTTTTTTTTTGGCAAACAGAGTTTTAACAATTAGAGCACATATTCAACAGCTAGTTTAAAAAAAAAAAATACATATGATATAATTCTATTTAAACACATAGAATTCTATTAATGTACATAAAATTATATCAATATATAATAGAATTCTATCTAAAACCATAAAATTGTATTTTAATATATACAAATTTATCTAATTATGCACATATTATCCCTGTTGTACACATAATTTATATATAATTATACATATATAGAATTATATCTAATATATCGACACATAATATAATTCTATATATGTACATAAAATTTGATAAACATACACATAGAATTCTATCGATATATAATAGAATTTTATTTAATTATACATAAATTTCTATCATGTACTGATAAAATTTTGTGCTATGTACTTAGAAAAAATTATATTATATATTAACAAATTTTAGTTAAGTCTATAATCGAGGAATCAAATTAAATTCACACATAATAAATCCAAACCCAAAACTGTGATAGTCGAACGGATCTAGACTACACATCTAAACATTTGGTGTTGTTCTCAAGTGAAGAAAAACATGCTTTAACCAAAAAAGAAGTGAAGAAAACTATATAGTGGCGTGGTGTGGTGATTTTGTTTGAGAAGCTTTACATGATTATGACATGATCGGTGGGACCTAATAATGTCTATATCTCAAGCTTATCTGTACTGTAAATCTTAATTAAAGTAACTTTTATATAATCAAAAGATTCAAAACTCTCTTATGTAAACGTTATCGCCTCCTGAGATGTATGCTTTTTTATACTCCCTCCGTTTTAATATATAAATTGTTTTAAAGTTTTATTTTTGTTTCAAAATATAAGTTGTTTTGATAATACTATGTACTTTTAACTTTATTGAATATTGTGTGACCATTAGTATTTTACAGTCTTTTGTGTGATTGGTCAAATTATTTTTATTAGATATATTAAATAATATTTTTTAGTTGAAAAGTAATTTCTTAATATCCGTGTTTTTTGCTAAAACAACTTATATTTCGAAACAGAGGGAGTATATTTCATAACATAACATACGCATGATCATACTGAGAAGGTGGCTATATGTCTTAGCATAATATGTTGGACTAGTAGTACAATTACGAAATACGAAACACAATAATAACACATTTAAATTAAAAAAAAAAATTGTAGCAAAATTTACTGACAATCCACAAGATGATCTTATACTGTTATAGTACATTTGAATTAAAATTGTAAAGTTAACAATATTTCTTTTTTCTATTTTTAAGATGATGTATTTCTTTTTATTGGACAACATACCACACAGGTTCATTTCATGCCATTTTATTTTCCACGCCACTCTTTCTGGTATGCTTTACGTTTTCACGAATTAATACTATATATAACGTACTATTTATTCATTTAGAAAAATAATATATTACCTGTTTAGAAAAAAAAATCCCTATATACTATATCAATAAGAAAAACCAACCGTGGAAAGTGGCATATCGAAATTTTCCAATTTTGAAACAATCATAAAAGGAAAATGATAGCTGGAAATTTTTCTAAAGAAACTGTAACAGTGACAAAATGAACATGCATACACTCTTACGTTGAGTAACGAATTTGGTATCAATTATATTCATGAACAATATATGTATTTTGTTATTTTTTACTTAAACTAGAATATTCTAGTTTAAGTGAAAAATAACAAAATACATATATTTGAATGGCACAATTTATTCCTTATATACAAAAATTCTATCTGACCAGCTCAGATTTTTTCATCTATATAACAACAAACTTCGATCCAAAGACAAAGCAAAAAAAGAAAACCTTAAAACACTTCAAAAAAATTGTCAGAAAATTCAACAATAGAGAAAAGTCTTCAGTGTTTAATTCACTAATGACAAACACAAGATTCCATGGAAGCCATTTAGAAGACACAGCCACAAAGAAAATCAGTAATGGTCGTGATCACAAGATATGGGACTGTGAGAGTCCTCTCTACGATTCTTACGAACTCGTAACTTTTGCTCACATCATCGAACGTAAACTAATGCCTTTGATATGAGACGAGTGTGGAGACTTGTCTCCGCGATCTGGTTTGAGTCTACGAGCTCTGATGGATAAAGAAAAATGTTGATCCGGGTGTTCGACAATAAATTTGTATTCGGTAAAGGATCGGAAACTCCCGTTAATTGATGCTAACTCGGAAATAGGTTAATTACGAACGATACTGTATGTGATAGAGAGGACTGTGTGTCGAGCTTGGAAGATGTGAGATCGTTCGTCTCAAGATCGTTGGTTTCAAGACTGGATGTCGAGGTCGTTGAATCGGAGATCGGGGCTGGATGCCGAGGGTATTTGAGGTCGGATCGTTAGTATGGAAAACTATGTTATTAATCAATCGAGCTTGATTAAGAGATTAAGTCTTATTGTGTTCGAGAAGGATTGTTTTCTTTTTTTCCTCCCCCTCTTTATTCCAAAAAGATCCCCTATTTATACTAAACATAGAAAAGATTTAGTACTAAGTTTTCCTCGGGACCCGAGCCGAGGTCACTAACTGCTTGTTGCTGGGCTGGGCCTTTCRTTGGGCTTGYATTGTTTGTTGCTGGGGCCAACTCGTRGGACTCATTCCCTCAGGGCCGAGCTCGTCGCGCTTCTGTCTTCCGGGCCGAGTTCGTGGGCAATTCCGTCAGCTGGGCCTTGTTGGAAATGGGCTTCAAAGATGACAATTGGTGGAGCCCATGCCCAACAAAAAAGATGATTATTCCTCTGTTTCGAAGACGATGATGCGTTCTATTCAGCGGAGGAAATATTGGTGGAATCGAAAGAAAAATATCGAAAAGAAGGAAAAAATCAAGAAAAAGAAGAAGATGTTTGATTGTATTTTTGTGTGGACTTCTCTTTACAAGAACTTGATTGTCTAATATGTAAACCAGTTTGATTAAGTTGTTTGTGTGATGGAAAAAATGTAGTTTAAAGGTTTTTTTCACTTTATATTAAATCGGTTTTTTTTTATTGTTTATAACTCACACACATATTAACTCACACGCACAAAAAAATTTTTCCGCTCCTGAATAACTTGGTGTTGGGAATTCTTTGCACATAATTGATACTGTTTTTATGATCAGCAAGTTTTATAAGAAAAAAAGCTAAATAATAAAATGATTTTAGAATGAAATGTGGTAATTTCCGAAAGAAAAAACTACCTTAACTAGCAAATAACCGTTCAATTTGAATGGAGTTTTTTATAACGAAAAACTTTAGTAAAAGACAGATCTATGTAATGATGTTGACGTAGCATTACAATACATGTTTGTTTACTCAGTTTTATACGAATTGCTATGGTGATTTTACGTTTCAAGCTCAAAAAGAATTTATGTTACGACCGGGCTTTAAAGTTAAGCCCATATTGGCCCATTTTCAGGTTTCGAAATTTCTTAGTACAAAACTACAAAACCTAATTGATTCGAAATGGCTAAAACTTAATATTTTGCTTTACCTTTTTGTTTTCTTGTACTTTAAATCCTGTGTGTAGAGTAAAGTATATAGCCTTCGACCACATTTCTGTTTTGTTTTGTCCTCAAATGAATTGAAATGAGTTTGGTTCCTTTCCCTCGTTCAAACTTTTGAATTTTTTTCATATTTAATTTTTTTTTTTTAATATCTACTGTTTGATCAATAAAAAACTCAATAAAAAGGACATAATAAGGACCTCAAAGTCTTGAAACTACATATGAAAAAAATACATATACAATTAAAAAAGTCAAAATAAGTACACTTTATTTAGAAAATTAAATGAGAAATAGACAACTAACTACTCTCTTCCACACCCTCATCAATTTTATGTTTCCTTTATTACCCAAAAACCAATTTAGATTTTGACCTTTCCTTGACTTTCTCCCTCTTTGATATCTTGTGAATTCTCTAACATTGCTTTATTTTTAATTTTTTTTTTTATCTATCTGATAGAATGCACTCTTTAGTTGGTAAAGAGTACTCAATGATGTAATTCACTTAGTTTCTTCATTATAATTTTATGGATTTCCAACCAAAAATTGAAAAAAAAAAAGCGAAGGTAATCTTTTTTTTGTTTTTTGTTCTAAAAAATTAGGTAATCTT